AAAAAAAAAAAAAAAAAAAACATAAGCAATGTTTAATAAAGTTACAATTTTAAAAGAAAAATAAACAATAAGGAGAAAATAAAGGGGATTCGTAATAATATTTATTACGAACGGTTACATAATTATATATTAATTGTGTTTACGTTTTGAATTAAATTTGGCAAATTCAAATGTATGAAATGTACTGTACATGTTAATTGTTATGATTAGTTTGATGAAGAGCTTTGGGTTTCTATTATATAATGGCAAAAGAACAAAGAAATATCTTGGCAGAAAATTTCAGAGAATTGAAAAATTAATGAATTGTTGTGAATAAGGCAAAGCAACACACGGGCATTCTGCCAAGGAATTACTTCGGGATAAAAATTTCTATGGAAAACTGGCCCCTATTATAGGCGAAAAAAACCCGAAAACTCCACTTGGTCAATCCGTTGGTCAGGCGCGAACCCACCCCACCACCAGTGTTGGGTGGTTTTATCCACCTCAGCCACTGGTAGGCGTTTTTATTAATACCTCAACATAATCACTTCATACAGAGACTATTTTTCAATTTATTATATTAAACTAATGTTAGGATCGCGCTGGTCGCGTGGAGTTTTACGGTTTCTTTCACGTGTCTAATTGCACTTAATTATATAGGGGCCAGTTTCCTATAGAAAGTCCTTCCGGGAGGCACTTCGGCAGATCGCCCATGTGTTGGTTGACTTATACCATTACACTAGAATAAACCAATTTATTCTATATATATATTACTGCACAGGAAGATTGATTTAAGTTATTTTCAAGATAATATTCGACCTTCCAAACTAGTTCTTCCTTTTTGAAAACGGCAATTTAAATAAAGAAATAAAAAGATTATTATTATTATTATTATTATCGCTATTATTATCAGTAGTAGTATTTGTTATTCTGCCTACTCGAAATGATCATTTTTGAAATTTATCAGGTGTTAAAAGAGAAAAACTGAAATAGCCACAAGTCACAACACATTCACACAATGCACACAAAGATTATCTAAACATATCTAGGAACGATTGCGTTCCCAGATTTAATAAATAAGGATTTAATAAGAAATTCCGGTCGGACGTGCTGTATTATTGCCACATCATTTATAACAAGCAATAAATTTTAATAAAATATTTCATTTTTCTTTATCTTTTTTACGTTTTCTTTGTGCTGGTTTCTTCGGTTAGATTTTAATGCCTATTAAATTTTAACTTTTTTTTTTTAAATTAATGGAATAAGGCAATGTAACACATGGGCGATCTGCCAAGGGAGTGTCTCCCGGGGAAAACTGGCCCTTATTTAAACTTAGACAGCCAAGAAAACCCGGAAAACTTTAAGTGGCCAACCCATTGTAAGGCGCGAACCCGCGACCAACCACCAGTATTCAGTAGCATTATGCATTCGCCACTGGTGGATACTGTTCTTAAAAGATGTCATCATAAAATACAATTAAAAATATATTAAATTAATTTGATGAAAGTAAAATACTTTCGCTAAAATTTACAACATTAATTTCTATTTTAGAGAAAGTAATGTATTCTAAATTATTTAAGAAAATATAATTGAAATACTGTTTAATTGCTTAACTTGTCTTTTTTTGTAAATTTCTTTTCGTAAGCGTAACTTCAAGTTATATTATAAAATGAAATAAAATAGAAAATGTAGTGTTGTGTCTGTATAACTTAAACGTCTCAGAATAAACAAAGTAGATCTGATTATTTGTATGGTATGTATCGAACTGAATAATACTAAGCATACAGAGTGATTTAGAAGTATTGTTATTTGTATAAACAGAAACACGATGATTCAACACTGAAAAATAAATTTAAAATATAAAAAGAAGTTTCATTGTTTGAACCTCCCTCAGTAAAAGGCAAATACTGTTTACAGGAATACGGAAATACATACAATTTGTTAAATCAGTACTTTTTAAAATATATCTTTTATTATTTTACACGCAAAAATTTCAGCACAAATCGCTACATTTGTATTGTTTTCTACACACAACTTTACAGCTATTAATAAGAAAATGTCACGTGTATTTTATGTATTTTAATAGATGTTTTACTGTTAATTAGGGGAGGAAATCTATTGTTGTAAGACTTTTCCTATTGTAATCGAAAATAATAAATAAAATGCGTAGTTGGGAATTAAAAAAACATCATATTTTTAATTAAAAATTAAATATTTATATGTAACGTGAGTATCGCGATCGCTAAAATGTTGAAACTGTGATATAATAAACTAACTTACATCGTTATAAATTAACCTTAAACTGAATATAAATAAATTTCTCAAAATACGGAAGAAACTACATTTAAAAAAAAAAATTATAACTTTAAATAAAGTTGAAGTGTATTTTTATATCGGGATAAAGATATATTTTAAATTTGAACCTTTCACCATTCAGTTTGGGAACACAATTCAATGAGTCAGAACAAGTAAAAAAAGTCAGACGAGCAAATTTAAACTGGTCTGTAACGTGGAACGAACTTTTTCCATAACATTTACTCTTTTTTTTATGAAGTACAATTACGGCAAACCGGAAATACTTTTCGAAAAGCAGACAAAGATCATTAGGCCCATCTTAATGCTTTCTAACCTTTTATTTCCGCCAAAAAGTATTACATTATTGCATACCATAAATAAACATAAAATTGTTATTCTATAAAATCAAATTTTGAAGTTATAGATATATTATTGAATAATTTCTTATAAAATTATATTTTAAAAACCGACGAATTGTACCTGAAGGTATATTTATTCGAAGTTACTTTTAGGTCATTGGCTTATATGTATAAAGTACCTAAAAGTAACTTCTAAATTTTTTTCATATAACCTGTACTTCGTTCAGAGGAATTTCATTTAATTAAATCTTTAAGACTCGAAACGTATAAATTATAATTAAAAATAATTGTAATAAATGCGTATTTTATAAACCCACACAAGAAAGCATTTGAAATATTGGCTTAAATTTTTTTTCTGATACTCTCCTAAATTAGTAATTGGTATTCAAGCAAGTTCGTTATATTAACGTAATATCGAGCAATATTGGAACTATTGAAATGAAATTAGACATTCATTCATAATTTCTATCATTAGATTAAATCTATAAGTATCATAATAGCTCATCTTTCTTGAACAGTTAGAAATAACTGATACAGAATTCGATAGTGAAAAGCCTTGAAACTTTTAAACTGTTGATTATATATATTATAAGGTAGATAAGAGCGATATGACATGTCAAGGCTCGACCCGGACCTTAAATTTGATCAGAATTTATGCAATCCAAGGGTGAATTTTGTTTAGTACTCTTCACATATGACAATGACTCTAAAGGCAACTTCTAGACAGAATAAACTAGATTTTTTAATATTTATTTTAATAACACTGCCAATAGCAATGTGTTTTATATTGTTAGAGATAAACTTATTTTTAATATACTGCAAATTAATTCTGTTTAACATCAAGAAAAATATTATCTACAAATATTCAATTATTTATGTCTTTGTTTTAGTTTTTAGTAGTCTTACACTTAAATATATGCATTTTTAAAAAAGAAAAACTTAAATTTATGGCAACGTCATTTTCAGAAATTATACATAAAAATATCAAGTAAAATTTGTTCAATTCGTCCAAAAATTTAAATTTAAATAAGAAAAAAAAGGGGAAAAATTGGTTTATTGACACGTCGAGTTCACGATCTATTAACAAACCGAGTTTGTAAATAACAGCACTAAAAAAAATTGTTTACTTGTGATTACTTCCAGCTTATCTATGTTACAACTGTTTGATAACAATGTTTAGCACCACGTGACTCTTTTTAACGTATCAGAAACAGCATTAGTATCGTTTATAGAAAGTTTAATACATCGCATTTTCGATTCGTTAATTGAACAGACCATTCAAATTTGTAGGTTTATCGAATACATAGTTTTAAAACGAAGATAATTATTTCCCTATGCAAGCTAAAAGCCTTAATTATTATGAGCCATATTTATTATTTAAGAAACAATAAATGACTTTTGAAGAATTTGAACGTAAAGCGTCGTGTTCGGTATTCATCTTCTCTCCGAGAGTAGACAATGTGGGCTTGTATTTTCAAAACTTCCTTTGATATCGCGCCACACTCGCTCTTTCCGTCCCTGACCTTCAAACACTATACTCTGGTCACATGACTAGTCATAGATCGGTCCAATTGGCCGCAGCGACCGAATAATGTTAAACGTGTTTATACAGTATATCGGGGTGTGTTATATACAGTATGAGCACATCACAGGAACCGCTTGCTACGGTGCTGGACACCCATTTGAATGATTACTTTAGGGTAAGGCACTTGCATCTATAATTTCACTTATGCTACTTCACTATGTAAGTTTTTTCTATCACATTCTTTATTTATATTCGAAACCGTTACGCATACGAGTTGTAAACTTTTATAAATTAGTTTTGGCTATAAAAGAACGTTTTTTATACTGTTTTTTTACAACCGATCTTTAATCTCGTGTAGGTGTATTTCTAGAAAAAAAAAATTATATATATAAAGTTGATTAGCAAGTCGGGGAATCGTTAGTTATTATCTTATTCTATAGCTGGCAAGGCAAAGGAGGCTATTATCGAGGCATTTAAATTGTTCTTCAATAGAAAATTACTTTGGGGAATTTATTTTCTTGATTACTTTTGTCGTTCGAGTGTTTTTTACGTATGTCAATTCCGTTATAAAGTGACTCCAATTGAATTAGATCATTATTGGATTCTGAAAACTATTTTATCATTTGCTTATAAAAGAAAAAAAAAACTATAATTTCAACTTCGAGAGAGAAATTTTTACGATATTTTTTGTGTCGAATTTAACATGAGTTTTATCGTTATTTTATCGTGAAGTCACGGAAGATAACTGGATAAAGATGTATCAATTATGTAAAAGATACAGGAAGTAAAAACCACCCTCAGTTGTTCGAAGCATCCAAAAGAAGAAAGAGGTGAGTGAACTTCCGATAGTGGAGGACAATCACCTTTTAAGAGCTCACTTTCGCTAGTGATAAAGGTGTTCAACAGGTGAGTTTGGTCGTAGGGGAATGTAAATTTAACGGTTAAACAGAATGTTAATAGCCATTCGCTCGACACTTTGTTAAATTTACGTTCAAAATTTTTAGTATTCGTAAAGTTCGGAAAATAATCTTTAAAAAAAAAGTACGTAAATAAGTAAGACAATTCGACTTTTTTAAATTTATTTTTTTTATACGTCCTCTCATCGAAATCTCTGCAATAACTTCCTTTCCTGTTCTGGAATTCTTGTAAAAAAATGAACTTCAAAAAATGATCGTTTAAATGACATTGCACTTACGCCGATTTAGATATAATTTAATATTTAATATATATATTTATATAAAGGGTTAACAAAAGGATAGCAATTGGAATCTTTTAAACGTGTAAATTGAGCTTCGGAATTCTCGATAGAATATGTTGGATCTATACAAATGAAACGTTTTAAAGGCGTTTATAATGAAAAAAATTGTATAAAGCTTTAGAATAGATCTTCGCTTCTTTAATATAAATAGAACCTAATAAACTTTGGCATTTATTTAATTAAAAGATAAGGTAAATTACACTAATCTATACAGTGTTTTAGTTTATTGCTTTCTTTAAAAAATTCATTTCAATTTATTTAGAAGAAATATAACGATTTTCTTTAGATTAATCATTGACATGGTATATATTAGTTACGTTCCATTTGTTTTGATATATTATTATTATTAGTATTTTAGAAAAATCCTTCATAAAAATCTATACTGACTGTTAAACCTTATTTAGCAATAGCTATAAACAAGTTGAAATATCATTTATATTGTTTTGAAAGGTTATATCCGTCAGTTGTTTTAAGAAAAACGATCCAATGTCATTGGTGATGTTGATAACATATCAAAGGTACAATAAAACGAACTATTTACAGCGCAAAACCGATTATATTCCTCTAGAGAAATAGAAAATGTTCTTAATGGTAAATTTACTTTTCTCAGCGAATTGTTTTTCTTTCAGAATTATGTGTACGTCATGCTGGAGGAAGAGCATTCGATATATAGCATCGGGCCGTCTTTTTGCGTCATCGAGGGCCTCTTTACCTTTGGACGATGCACGCGACGATAAGAAAGTTGAAATGTTAACGGCACTGAAAAGGGCGCCTTCTTTGCACGATCTTCCCGGGCCAAAGCCGTCGTTTCCATTTATAGGAACTGGATGGCAATATTTTCGATGGAGTAAGAACTCGGATACGTTTTCATAATTTCAAATTTAAAATTGTATAACGAAACTCCGCTTTTTAAAAACATAAATATTTATTATTTAATATACTTGATCTTCTATTTCTATACTACATATTAACGAATTTTTTTTTTAATTTTTATTTTTTTATTGTTAAACCTACTCGTATTGCGCAGCTGTTATAACAACGCTTAAAGCCAGGTGCGTTTAACGGTTACGACGGAAGCGGCGGAATAAATACGGACTTTGATAATTTCCCTTGTTTTATAGGCAGATATAATTTATACAAATTACACGAAGCTAATTTGGACAAGTACAGACGCTACGGCCCCATCGTCAGGGAAGAATATCAATGGCGAAGACCGGTAGTACATCTTTTCAAACCCGAGGATTTCGAAACGGTTTTTCGTCATCAAGGAAAATATCCTTTAAGACCAGTCAGCGAATTTTTAAAATATTATCGTTTGAACAATCCTCAAAAATACGACAGCGTCGGATTAGTTAATTCGTAAGTTGATCTTCATTCTGATAAACAGTATAACCTAATAAAAAAAAAGATCAGATAAATAAATAAATGCCGTTACTTATAGCCTACACTACTCGAAATAATAGGCTTTTTGTTAATGTAATTCTGAGTAGATGTTTTTTTTTACCAGATTATTTTTTTCCTCCAAGGGTTGGCGAGGAATGGTATCGACTGCGTTCGGCTTTAACACCGGTTCTGATGAAAATGAAATCTCTACACGGAATGTTATCTCATCAAAACGAAATATGCGATGATTTTCTCACATTTATTCGAAGAATTCGTCAAAAAGACACCAACCAAATTACAGATCTTCAAGATGTACTTTATAGATTAGCCTTAGAGTGTAAGTATTTTTTCTTAAATAATTTACGCCATATGGCAATGAAATAAGATTATTTCACTTCCATCTGGTTGATTGTCAGTCGCACTTGCGGTTGATAATTTTTTTTTTCTTTTTTCCTAATATGTTTTCTAAACTTTAATGTCGGACTTTCAGCCATTTGCGTCATGTGCATGGATTGCCGTTTAGGTAGTTTAGATCCGAAATTAAAACCAGATTCCGATGCTCAAATTATGATCGCCGCGTCTAAAAAGATGTTCGAAGCTTATCAGAAATTATACTACGGTCTTCCTCTGTGGAAATATTTTAAAACTCCCGCCTACCAAAAATTAGACGAAGCAGAAAGTGCAGTTTACAGGTTAGTGCAGAAATTTTTATCTTTTTTTTACTATAAAATCATTTTAAAAATTTTTAATAATTTCAGTTCGGCCTCCAAATATATCGAAAAGGCTTTAAAACGTTTGGAAAACGGAAAAGATAAAAAGCACAACAAGTATAACAGCGTTTTGGAGACTTTAGTTCAAGTTAATGGTTTGTCAGAAAAAGAAACTCGAATGGCCATTATCGATTTCATTTCTGGAGGAATATTCACAGCAAGTATCAATTTACTGGTTCTTTAGTCATGTAAGAATTATAAATTAATATATTCGTGTAAATTGACGGCCGGATGACCGAAACGCTCTACTACTACCATCTAGCCATCGTGAATATGAGAATCTCGGGATCCTCACAAAAATATCGATAGATTTGATGGAGATATGTCGAGTGCCGTTCCTTAATACCGGGCGGCTCCATGGTAAATCAGCCCAACCCCACGATGGAGACAAAAATAAATCTTTTTAATACTTACAGAATGAAAACATGTTTTAAAAACATCGTATAAATTAATAAATACGTAGGGCCCCCAGAGAATGACAGGAGAAAATACATGTTGGGCCATACAGAAAATTATATGATTAGGCTTTACTAAAGTAAAATATATAAACGAAAAGAAATTGTATAGGGCAGTTTGCTCCTTTTGTTCTCCTCTGGACGTCCTTACGTAACATTGTATCTATTTAGCAAAGTGGACGTATATCTCGCAACTAGAAGGATCCAAGTTCGAATTATATTCAAAAGAGGTTTCAATTTTTTAGTTCAAATATACAAAAAGGTTACATATCAATACAATGAAAGAAAGTTAATGCACTGTAATTTAATAAAGCGAAGTTTGTGAAGATGTTGCATTATGTAATTAAATTTGGACGGTGATTAAGATAATCTAAAGCTATTTTATTTCTTAACTACTTAACTGTTACGATACGATACAATAATAGAATTTTATTATTTGAATAAGAGTTTTTCGGGATATTTTTAGAATTATTAATGTGTATGTGAAATATAAATAGAGCTGAATTATTCTATCAATATTTAATAACATAACAATAAATATTCAGCATTTATGATTAATGGTAAGGCATTTTATTGTTATCGCTACGCAGTCGATACATTGGACAGAAAGTTCTCAAATTACGGAGAGAAATATCTACAGATGATTCTCAAAGTAAAATTAAATGGATATTATTGATATAAATCTCTCAAACTATTATATTAATTTTATTTTTTACTTATAAATATATAATATTTTTTCATTGTTATATAAATTTTATAAAATACATTTAGTACATATTGTTATGAAGATTATAATATATTATTATAAGCTTACAAAGATTACAAAGCTTATTATAGTTTCGATTTGTAGAGTTGTACTCATAAGTTAAGTTGCTTTATATCGATTTAACGTTATAAGAGAATTTATATGCAAAGGTTCTTGATTACTGACATAGAATATGTTTAATAGTCCTATTTGAAATTATGAAATAAAATTATCATTGTTTTCAGGAATGTAAATATTCGTTTTATACTTTAATATTAATATCGAAATATATATTTTTAATGTGATGAATAAGAACATTTTTCATTTAGGGGAGACCGGGGCAACTTCGGCATGCGGGGCAAGTTTGTCAAGCGCTTTTTTTTAAAAACAAATTAAAAGGAGACTTTGGTTATAGGTTAGGCAGTTGAGTTTTATTGGTGGCTTGTTGAGTGTAGTGTTTTTATTGTTCTCCAACAAGCGTAGTTGAATTATCAAGCAAATTTTCATTTTCGTTCAATTCCATATAATATTTTTTTTCCATTTATATTGAATTGGCAGGTTTTGTTATAATTCCATGATAACGAAAGTTACTTTTCCTGTTAGAAGGATGTAACTTCAACTTATTCACGTGGCCAGATCGTGGCTTGGCATTCTGTTCTCAGGGTTGTACTTAATGTTTCGAAATCATGACTAGCGGGGTAAGATCGGCAACATAAAGCCACATTAGAAGCAAAGGATAAAAATCAAACAGATGATAAATGAAAACATGTTTGCATTTGTTATTCATGTATATATGTCTTTGAACTTGCATTTCGTTGTAATAATATTAAATGGGTGTTGGATTTGTATTTCTTTGTTTTAATAGTGAATTCCAACTTATACATTGTTAATAACATAATTTTATATACGTGCCTATCTTGCCCCATTACTGTTGCCCCTATACCAGGGGCAACTTTAATAAAAATAATTAAAATAATTACAACTTTACAAAAAGAGAGAAGTTGCCGATCTTGCCCCTATACCCGGGGCAACTTCGTCAATTTCTCTCTTCTTGTAAAGTTGTAATTATTTTAATTATTTTTATTTCCAAACTGATTTTAACCAGTTCTATAGTAAGGTAACATTCCAATAGACAATATGCAAAGCTTTTTTTTTCAGTTTACAGCAGTATTTATTACACAAAATTTAAGTAAAGCTTAACATGCCGATCTTGCCCCGGTCTCCCCTATATAAACCTTATCGTTTCTTATCTTTAAAAAAAAATAAATTTTAAAAAGATATTTTATGCTAGGTTTTAAATAAAATAATATTTGAACAATACATCATCATATATTTATCTCAAGATAAATATATATTTAAAACTGAACTTTTACATGAACTTGCCATGTGTAGAGATGAAAATTAACTTATAAAAATAATATTTTTACTTACCATCTTTGTTCAGAGAAAAATCATCGAAACGAGTTAATACTTAAAATTATCATTAGCGCTTTCAGATGTTCAACGATTAGCGGAAATGCGTCAAAATAGAGCTACAGAAATTTGATTGAACCTTGAGTATAAAAGAAAAACACACTTAAATTTCTATTATCAATTACGTTATGTACATTTGATATTAAAAAGGACGTAAGAATCTTCGAGTGTCTCCTTTGATCTCAGATATTAAAGACATTATACTTAGTTGAAACTTGAATTCATGTCAAACATTGTTTGAACTGTAAAAATACTCAATTGATACTTGAAAAATCTTGTGTTTAAGTGGTAATACAACTTGTCAAATTTTCTTAACTTAATTTTAAAAAGATACAGCATAGTTACAGTTCAAATTCCTTTAAAAGTAGTTAATTCGTGGTTATATCATTTTTCTTTTTAATTTTTCCTCACAACTCTGAGAAATAGTGTTGAAAATTTTAAAAATAAAATCAGTATGCATTAATATATTTAAATTTTCACCATACAAGAAGGTATAACATACAGTTTGTTAACATATAACAACACGGAAAATTATTTGTGTTAACATTAACACAAATAATTTTCCGTGTTGAAATATTACATAATTTCTTCCTTAGAAGTGTATTTATTTCATAATGGAGTAGTAATTTAGATAATTCTGTATGCGATTTCTAAAAATTAAACAACAAATATATTTACCATCATGGCAGAATTAACCCTTGATATTCAGGTTCAAATAACAAGGTCATTTAGTTGAGAGATAATAATTTTTAAAGCAGACGGCTGTAGATAAATGCATTATATAAGCATAGATTATTACTGCAGGCATTTATTGCGTTAAGATTACTATTGATGGTATGGGTTATCGTGTTGTATATATAAATTCTATCAACTAATTTCAACTACATGTTTATTGTTTGTAATGGCTCAATATACTTAGTTACGAATGCATATAGACGTTCAAATTTAAACTGTACAGTGTTTATAATTTTTTATTATATGATGTGTTTAAAATATAATATTTCATTCCTATTGGAATATGAATTTCGTAACTTTCGCCCTTTACATACAGTAAATAATTTATATAAAAGTTTACGTGCGCTTTATTGCATGAAATTTCAATTCAACTTATCCACATCTACTAAAAAGTTACTAAAATATAACAAATAATAGAAAAGGTTATCAATAAACGATTTTAAAGAAATCCAATTACATTATAAAATTAATATTACCTCTAATTATTTAATTTTTCTATTTATTTAGTATTAGATTTTTTGAAGGTCTCCTAAAAAGTGGACCTGTGCAATTCTCGTAAGTAGTAATGGATCAAGATTTAACATTGAACAAGAAATAAACGTTTCATTTCTTTTTACTAATTAAATTTTAATGCCACTTAGTACAATAATAATATAAAATTTTATAAAACATTAATGAAGATTAATCGGTCCTTAGGTTATACTCAGACAACGAATAATCAGATATCTACTGAGATAAGAACTGTAAAAGATGGAAATTTTATTAATCCCAATTATTTTGAAACTACTAATGTATAAAATATTGTCTTCAACCCCCCGACAGAAGCAGAAAAATGAATTGAGTCATTGCTATAATTACCAATAATCTGCTTTTAACGGATTGGAATGATGGTTTGTAGCAATGCAACACGTGGGCGATCCTCCAAGGAAGGATGCCTCACGGGAGGACTTTCTACGGGAAACTGGCCCCTATTTAGGTGTTATTTAAAACAAGTCGCGTGGAGTTATCTCCGTACGAAAAGTAACTTTCGAGTAAAATGTTATCAGATTTCACGAGAAACAGAATCATATTCTATGGTCTTTTCAACAACACTTATTTGATAGTGTAAACCTGAACAACGATTCTTTGATACAAATATGCATTGTAAACTCATAGTAGAGTGAGTCCTACTAACCCACATATTCTATTCCTGCTTTCAACAATAATTCCTTTATATGAACGTAGAATTTTAATAAATTATCATTGCAAAATACGGTTTACGCATAGAATTCTTACTTAACATTTTTCACCCTATGTGTACTAAAAACCCCTTTTCCATACTTATCGTGGGTTCGGCAGACCCACAATGGGGACAACCGGATAGTGAGGAAGAAGCCTTGACATATCCAGAACAGATCACTCCCTGAAAAATTTCGGAGTTGTTCGCCGGAATTTTATTCCGGATCCCCACAGTGGTTGGTTAACATCTTAACCATTCGACTATCCTCGAAATTTTTACTGTAACATTTCTATATTAAATCGTATTATATGATTTTAATTATTTTTAAGTTCTAATATTATACTATTTACTATAATAATAATAATAATAAAACTTCAGAGAAAATAATAAGGATTAAATTTAAAATTTTGAGAGGAAGATTCGATTGGAATGGATTAATGGTATAGGACAACACAACACGTGGGCGGTTTGTCAGGAAAGGTGCACCTATTGGGAGGACTTCTACGGGAAACTGGCCCTTATTTGTGTGT